ATATACTTAAGAGATATAGACAACTCAAAAAAAGTTGAGATTGCAGAAGTTCTGTGAATAACACCTATAGCCCAGAATCTAACTTGTTAAAATCATGAAGTTACCCCGCAGCTACTAACCTCAGAAGCACCAGGCCGTGCCACTGACTTGAGGTATTCCAGCAGGACCAATGTCCTGTGCTTGCCCATTATCACTGTATAAGTCACTTCCAAAGAAAAATTTTGTATGGGGGAGGCTGAAAATATAGTTTTGTTTTGTTTTTATTATTATTATTATTTTAGGAATGTATGTTATTTACAATGTGGAATATGTGCAAAACTTAGAGGAAACACAAATAAAAGAAGTCCAATATGAATATATTTAGTAACTCCAAAACATGAAAGTTTGAGCATTTATTCCAGAAAGAGATAGCAGTCTTGAAGGAAGCGAACTTAAACCAGCATATTTGCTGAAAACATCCAGCAAAGTTATTTAGAATTTTGGTTAAGTTTTCTCTTTCTCTTACACCTTAGTTATGTAAAAATCCTTTTTAAAATGAGAAATTTTAATTCCTCAATATTCTTCCCATTGGAATAAAATGAAAAATTTTTCTGAGATGGCAACCCACTCCTGCCTAACACCGTTTATCATACTTTCTTTTCTTGATTGCTTATATAGAAAAATTTGGAAATGGTTCATTTCTATGTCTCCCAACATTGCTCTGTAAGTATTAATTTTCAATTGCCTATTTCCCCAACTGGAAATAGGTGGTTTTTATTAAAAAAAAAAAGAAAAAAAAGAATGGTTCTTATCAGCGTATTACTGAAATTATTTACTTGATGTGATTTTTATTGGAATAACAAAACCAAAACAGAAATAAAAGCCTGGTTCTTTAATCTCAAAAAAGAAAAGCACATATCTATGAAATAAAAGATAAAAAGGATTTCCCTTTAAATTGATGAAGGATTCTTGAATTAATTGTACAAGGGATTTAACATCAAAATATTAGAGAACCTAAAAAAGACTGATTTGGATACTTTTGTGATTAAATTCTAAACTAGAACGATGACAATCCAAGTGAAGTTACCTGAAGTTTTTCTTGCTTCCTAAAATAATGAGTGATGAAATTTACCTCCTACAGCAGACAGTATAGAATATTCTCTTCTTTGATGTAAAACTAGGCCCATATTTTCTAGTCCCCTTGAATTTATTTTAGATGGAAGCAGGTGACAAGTTCTCTCCAATAGATAGATAGTAGAAGAGATAAGTCCCAAGTTCTGATTGAAGTGAAAAAGTGGGTATGCTTTTCTCTACATCCTCTTTTTTGTCTACTGCCTACATGTGAAGACTGACCCTAAAGAATGGCAAAGCTATTAAGATGAATCTCTGAAAGACTGCATGGAGCAGAGTCCCTGCTGACTCACTCTGGATATTGAAGTGAGCAAAAAAGAAACTGTTATTATTGTAAGCCTTAGGGATTTGGGGGGTAATATTTCAAAGTGGTTAACCTACCCTGACTAATGTACTTCTTTAAACACAGTGTGCTAAAGGAGAGAGCAGTTAAAAATTTGGCCTACCTATTATTATTTTTTTCTAAATATATTTTTAATGATTTCAGAGAGAGAAAGGGAGCGGGAGAGAGAGATAGAAACATCAATGATGAGACAGAATCACTGATCAGCTGCCTCCTGCATCCCCCACACTGGGGACTGAGCCCACAACCCAGGCATGTGCCCTGACTGAGAATCGAACCGTGACCTCCTGGTTCTTAGGTCCATGCTCAACCAAACGAGCCACGCCAGCTGAGCTGGTCTACCTATTATTGATATAAATCTCTAGCCTCAAGATGGAGTTGCTCTTTCCTCGGGTGCCATGTCAACAAACCAAAACTTTGATAATTTTCACATCCCTGTAAATGCTGCACTGGATGAGAAACTCAGTTTATTCAGTCAGCCAATTCCTAAACACCAAGCCAATTCTGTACTTTAAACTTATCTTTTTGTTCTTACTCACCCCAAACAAGGTTGACTATGTGACCTCAGCCAATTACATATTTTCTATTTTTTCTCTTCCTTATTCTTTGTCCTATAAAAGCTTCCTGCCTTCCACCTCATTTTGCTTTCTCCAAATGGAGGTGTCCACTTCATGAAGTGTCAAATACAAAGTTTGTTTGTGTCACTTGAATTATCTTTGTTAGTAATTTTTAACACTATTAAAGTTTCCCTAATTCATATTATGTGAAAGTACACTGAAAATTCTAAAGCATTTTATAAAGTTAATGTTATTATTATTAACAACATTAATAAAAAGATTAATAGTTACACAGAATTCAATAGGTCAATTGTGTTTTGGAATGGAAGTCAGGAAAAGGAATGAATACAAAGAAAAATCCCCTTATATCTGAATTTTCTGAGAAATAATCTATGTTGTAGGGTCATGAAAATTTTAACTTTCCACCAATCTAACAGCTACATTTATTAAGAAAAATGTAGATTTATAAGAAAATGGAAAACATTAATTTGAAAGATGTACCAAACCTAAGTCTTCATCTTTCATTGTTGTGTGTGTTTTATTCTTAATGCACTTTTATTTAATTTGGCTGAGCTATTTTGAAGATTGTATGACTCTAGTCAGAAGCAGTATTTTAGAACTCAGCTGGGTCACAAGAACTTTCTCATCACTCCATTCTAATTTGCAGTTTTGCTATAATAAAAGCCCTAAATATATTGCTACTGTCTAGACGTTTTATCTGAAACAAGTGTCCTTTGTAGCCTCAGAGGACTTTTTTATTTCCAGTAAATCAAAGTCTGTGAAGAACTGTGGTTCTTATTAAGACATACCCTTCACAGTCCAGCGATTGCCAACAGTGGCAAGCCAATGACAGTTCATTTACATATAAGTGATGACTTCCATCAGGTAGTTGGCTCAAAACCACAATGGACATTTAGAGCACATCCAATATTTCTTCTTCTTTGATGGGTACCAAGTGCCAATTTTTATATGGAAACTAACTATTGAAAAGTGAAGGCTTCTTTTCTCTGACCTTATACTGTGTTCTCCAGCTTGGGAGTGACTTATTGTCACTGAACTTAATGTAAAATCACACCTCTAAAAGACATTCAGTGGTCCTCCTAATTCAGGCTGCTAAAAATCAAGAATAATAGTCAAATGTAGAAAACGTGAGACAAGAACAATTACATTTTATCAAAAGAAAAATAAACTTCTGCATTCTGACCTTAGTTGTCACAACCATAGCTTAATTTTTGTTTTATTTTTATAAGGTAATTTTTATATTATTTTCTCATAAGTATATTTGCCACTTGAAATAGTGGTAAGTGCTATCCAATGCTTATTAAGAAATTCTATGTTGTAGTTTGTGTCTTTCATTATAACTCTATTCTTTTACTCCCTACACCCCCCTTTTTTTTTGAATAGCGGTGGCAGAAATCTAGCCAAATTATTTTTATTTTAATAATGCTGTAAAAAAGGAGCAGACTAATGGATCTGTTACCATTCTGTAACTCAACCCATGTTTGATATTTTTTATTCCTTTATTGTGCATTTTCCAGCTTTTTTTTCATTATTGAAATAAAGAAAAACTTCTTTTTCAAATGAAACTGTCTCGATTACCAACAGAAAGAATATGAATAATTGAATTTCATATAAGCTAACCGCTCCATTTTAGCTAGTAATCACTTGTTTTCTCCCTTTCAAATGTTTCACTGCTAACATTTTCTGGTTAGAGTATCAGCATGATGTTGAGTCCAGCTTGGTTTTGGTTTTGGTGAGGCCCCTACTAAACATGATTCCTTTTTTTAATATAATTTTTCTTCTTTATTGATTAAAGTATTACATATGTGTCCTTATTGGAGTTGGATTTTCTAAAGATTTCATCCTAATGACTTCTACATGTATTCTACAGTAAACTTCACTGCATGAAGGAGCCTAAGAGAAATTTTTAGAAACCCGTCATTTATAAAAGTAATAGGTCAGGGGTAAGAACTGTAAAAATGGAACACCTGTCATGTAGTTGCTGCCTCTATTCATATCTAATTTCTATGCTATCTTTACAGTCTGGTCCTTCAACTAGTGCTCCTTCACTTGTTTTCCCATCCATTCATAAAGGGAAGGAGAGAAAAAGGGAAGGAGGAAGAGAGAGGGAAGGAGGGAGGGAAGAAAGCAAGGAGGGAGGGAGGGAAGGAGGGACAGATGGTGGATAGATAAATAAAATTAAATTCAAGACTCTTAAGGAACTAGTGTTAGTCACTGTGCTTCAACCCTTTCTGAACAAGGCAAGTAATCAGGAATACTGTATATTAGCTGTCAGTTTTTTTCACTTTAGAGTGATCAATGAGAATAAGGAAAATTACTACTATGACTACACTAATAAAATCATATACTGTAGTTTAAAGCACATTTCAATAAACCATTTCCAAAAAGTTTGAGTTTTTAAAAATAAGAATCTTGAAGTTTATTTTTGTTGTTGTTGTTCATCCTCACCCAAGGATATTTTTCCATTGAGTTTTAGATAGTGGAAGGGAGAGGGAGAGACAGAGAGAAACATCGTGTGAGAGACACATTGATTGGTTGCCTCCTGCATGCACCCCGGCCAAGGCCATGGAATCTGCAACCAAGGTACATGCCCTTGACCAGAACCAATCCTGGGACCCTTCAGTCCACGGGCTGATGCTCTCTCTACCCACTGAGCCGAATTGGCTAGGGCTTGAGGTTTCTTTATGGAATTTATTGGTGATGGAACAAAACAACTCTAAGTCCAGTGAAAGGAGTATTTCACAGTGGTTTCAACAGATTTTTTTAATGAAGTATATGCAATGAATGGTTCATCCAAAGATGTTTAGAAGTTATAGACTGACTTGATGAAAACCTTTAAATATGTAAAGATGCTTGCCTTTTTGCCTGTTGATACTGAATTAATTCATGGCCAATGTTAGCTTATCTCTTTGGGTAGTTACGTTCAATTCTTAAGAGAACAAAATTGTATTGAAAACATTGTTATACTTCTAAGATAAATACTGTTGTCTCATTTTTCTTTCTCTCATAGATGCGCACACTAACTTCCCAACAATCCGGATGTCAGCTCTTTTGAGTATTGGATGTCCACTCACTGTAAGATAAAATATATGATTATTTTAATAAGTGTTTAATTAATATGCCAGAATGTATTATCACCATAATTAGCTAGTTATTAATATTAATAATAGAAAGAGAGCAAAGGAGAGGCTGGACATTATAAGCATGGTTATCTGGGCAGCTTCTCCAAGATACAACTTCAAGCTCCACAGGGAACCACCAGTCCATTTCCTGAAGATCACTGGGGGAAGGGATCGAACAAAGGGGGAGATAGACACATGCACAGTGAAGTTGGGTAAGGTAGGGAAGGTGCTTGCTTGTCAGCCTAGCCTGGGAAACAATGGGTTAGCTCGGCAGGTGGACCCCCAAAGCAAGCACGTGAAATCTTGGAAGGTTAAGATCTGCAAGGCAAAGAGTCCCCCTTCTCTTGTGCTCTTGCCTCTTGCTTTGCTCTTGACCACAGATGATAGCTGTAATAGAAGATTACTCAACATAGGTAAACTAGAAGGAAAAGTATAACATTCCAAGATCTTGTTCTTACACATTCGTGAGTGAATCCAGATTTAATATTCAATGTTCCCTTATTTTCAAAATGGGGATTGTATATATCTTGTCTCATTGTTGAAAGGATCCAAAAACACATATAAAAGTATAGATGTGTAATGTGTTAATATGGATGCATCAATTAAAACATGATTACATGTGAGATATTCTAGGAGAATGCCTGGAATTAACTGCAGTGATGGGAATGCTTTCAAAGAGACCAGAGGTTGCATAAGGGTAGGTAGAAAATTCTACTAGTATATGTGACTATTTTTGTGATTATATATGTATCTATACACATGTGTGGGTATGTATGTAGTTAGATTTTGCTCTGAAATAGTAAAGTTTTGCTTCCCACTGCTCACTGTTCCTAGCTCCTGCCTCTGCCATTCAGGCAACAGTAATGGCTTCCTTGAGGGTGACTGAAAATAAATCATCTAATTTCTGGTATTTATCAATTTTGAAACAAGAAAAAATGATAAGTAGTTAATAAATATTCTATGCTCAAGTTTTTAAGTCATCAGCTCCCATTTGTAATCTGTGAAAAAAAAATGCAAAACGTATAGCTATTTAATAAACATAACTACTTAAAATGAGGTAAATGATTGTGTAACATTCCATGAAGAAAAACCCTAGAACAAAGAAGACAGCTGAGTTTCAAGAAGGGGGTTTTAAAACGCAAAGCAACAACAGTATTTTCGAAAGGAAGGCTTCCACTTGGTAGAGTATGACTTTCCTCAGAATGCATAGCATGCTGCGGATCCAAGAAATCAGAATGTGAAGAACTCACACATGGAGCCAGATGATAGAAAGACTGTGTGATGACAGAGAACCCTTTCTAACTTTACAGGGAACCAGAACCGGACGAGCAGACTCGTGGGAAAAGGAAAGAGGAGATGCTGATGGGCTCTTGATAAAGGGTGAACCACCACATCTTTTTGTACCTTGCCCTGGGGGGAATTTTGTAATAGAGAGCACAAAACGTTTATGGGAAAACCCAAAAGTAAAGGGGTTTTGTTGAAAGGTGCTGCAAAGGCCTTAAAAAAGCTATGTGACCAATATGGAACTGCAGCAATAGGTGTGCACAGTGTCTGGATGATGGCTCTTCAGTCTTACGTCACAAACTGCAGCCCAAGGTGGTGTGAGGAGACCTACTGAGATGGTGTAGCTTCCAAGGGAGCATGGGAATTCTGAGAAAACTGGCTGACTAGAAGAGGCCTATGGTCTGTAAAGGGAGAGGACAGTGTATATGGACTTCACTACTGGGCTCTGGCCGATATGAAGACTGGATGGCACCCTAGCTGGTTTGGCTCAGTGGATAGAGTGTCAGCCTGTGGACTGAAGGTTCCCAGGTTTGATACCGGTCAAGGGCACATGCCAGGGTTGCGGGCTCGGTCCCCAGTGTGGGGCATGCGGGAGGCAGCCGATCAATGATTCTCTCTCATCATTGATGTTTCTATCTCTCGCTCCCTCTCCCTTACTCTCTGAATTCAATAAAAATTAAAAAAAGAAAAGAAAAGAAGACTGGATGGCAATGAATGGCTCACAAGGTTTAGGTGGCATGATTAACACACAGGTGGCCAGCAAGGGAAATCACATTGAGGATATATCTCATGAGACAAAAGGAAATGAGTAGTAGGCCTGTTATAAATGAGAGAGTAAGTAAGAATAAAGGACAAATTTAGACGCATAAGTACAATAACAGCAGCATAAAAATACAAAAGTTAGAAATATAGCTTATAGAATATTGAGATAAGTCAATCCAATTATTCATAGGAAAATATTTTCTATATTAAAGACTTAACTTTTCATACCATGCAACTTAGAAATACAAGTTTCAAAGAAAGTGATATCAACTCACTAAAAGGGGTAGGAAAATGGAGGTGACCTGAGTAACCGAGGAAAACAGTGTTTTGACTGGAAACTAGAGGCTAAAGATAAAATGCAGATGGATAGACACAGATGGATAGATACAGAAATAATTATAAATATGTGTACAAACAGCTTAGTATCCATATATGTATTTTCCAGATCTGTCCACTGAGAGAGCCTAGAAACAGTGATACTGCAGTCGCATCGAGAACATTCAGTGCCCAGACTTTGGTTTCTAAAGACTATTCTCCAATACAGGGAACCAAGACTCCTTAGAGAAATGGCTGGTTCTAGGGCAGGGATAATAATACAAGACCAGTCTGCAGAATCTTGTGGTGCCAAAGTAGGGAAGCACTTCAACTCTGTAATATTCTTTAAAAAAATCATAACCTCAGCATTTTTAAAACAGCAATAACAATAAGCATAGTTGCCATTTAATGCACATGTATTCTGTGCCAGGCACTGTACTGAGTGCTTTACTTATATTATCTCAATTTCTGATAGCCTGATGCTACCAAGATTATTATTATAAGAAACACAGATTCATATCTGTGGCATGTTTCTTTGGGCTATGGAAATTCTTGATCCATGTATGGATTGCAGAACAACTCATTGGAAACCATAGCATTATTTATATCACTCACGTTCTCATGTTTAAAGCAGATCTATGTTACATTACATTATTATTTGCCTTTTTTATATTTTTGTCCTGTATCTTCAAAATGTCAGGAATCCACTTATTTGTGTCAATGCACTGATGTCTCATTGAGCATCTTGCAGATAAACAAGTGTCCAACAAATAATTTTAATAATGCTTGTTTTTGCTTTACAAAATTGATATCATATTATGCATATTTTGCTTTCTTCACTCAAGATTTTATGAAAATCCTTCCAAGCCAACTAGTATAATTCCAATTCATTATTTTAAGTGGTACATAGTATTCTATGATATAAATAGATCATAATATTTTTCTATTGGTTAGTATTTACTATGTTTGTTATCCCCCCACTCACAAAATGATAAAATAAGAATTCTTGTTTATTTAGTAACTAAAGGCCCGGTGCACAAAATTCATGCACTGGGGTGGGGGGGGTTGTCTCTCAGCCCAGCCTGCACCCTCTCCAATCTGGGACATCCCTCTCACAATCCAGAGCTGCTGGCTCCCAACTGCTTGCCTGTCTGCCTGCCTGCCTGCCCTTAACCGCTTCTGCCTACCAGCCTTATCACCCCCTAAGCACTCCCCTGCCAGCCTGGTCAATGCCTAACAGCTCCCCTGCCAGCCCGATTGCCCCCAACTACCCTCCCCTGCAGGCCTGATCTCTCACAACTGCCCTCCCCTGCCAGCCATCTTGTGGCTGTGGGTGCCACCAGCTTTGAGGGCATGACAGTCAATTAGCATGTTCCCTCCTTATTGGCTGTGGGTGCCACCATCTTTGAGGGCGTGACAGTCAATTAGCATATTCCCTTCTTATTAGCTGAGGGCGCTGCCATCTTTGCAGCCTGCTGCTCAGTCATTTGGTCGTCCCTCACTAATTCCCCTGCTGGCCTGGACACCCCATGCAGTTTGCTGCTCAGTCATTTGGTTGTCCCTCACTAACCCCCTTGCCAGCCTGGTCACTCCACACAGCCTGTTTGGTCGTCCATTTGGATGTGATGGTCGCTTAGGCATATATATATATATATATATATATATATATATATATATATATGCTTTTGTTTTCATATGATATATTGCTAAGATGGAGTGGTACACGTGTTTTTAGTGGTAACTGGTATTGCCAAAGTGTTTGTAACACATTGTGAAATCCATGTATGTGCCAGAAAGGAGTGACAGTGCTTCTTTGCTCAAATCCCAACCAGCAATCAAAGATATTGTTTTGTTTCAATTGTGGCCAATCTAAAAGCTGCTAATGCACTGAGTTTCCTTATCTGCTAGTGACTATGAGAATCACTGCATATTTTTTAAAATACTTTATTGATTTTTTTTACAGAGAGGAAGGGAGAGGGATAGAGCATTAGAAATATCGATGAGAGAAACATCGATCAGCTGCCTCCTGCACACCCCCCACTGGGGATGTGCCCGCAACCAAGGTACATGCCCTTGTCCGGAATTGAACCTAGGACCATTCAGTCTGCAGGCCGACGCTCCATCCACTAAGCCAAACTGGTCAGAGCTGCATATTTTTAATTAGCTTTTGGTTTTCCTGTTTTGTGATTGGTTTCTCTGCATCTTTTGTCTATTTTTATTATGCTGCCCTCTCATTCTCAATTTAAAATAGCACATGGGATTAAACCTCTGTATTCTACAGTGCAATTCCACTCCATAGCAATTTTTAAAATAGATTTGTTTATGGTATCTTTTCATAGAAAACTCTAAAAATTTTTTTATAAAACCGGTCATTTTTCTTCTCTTTAATAGTCTTTATTTAGTATATTTCCTGCTTCTAGTTGAATGTGCAGTTTTCTAGATTCTTTCAGAATTATAAATTAATTCGTTAATTGATTTATTTACTTATTTATTTATTTAGATTGGCTGTTAAATTTTCTCAATATATTCTTTTAGTATCTGTTATTATCAAATGATTTTTCTCCCTAAAAGTATTGATGTAATAAATTAT